ATCTATGAGTATGTCATGATCTATAGCAGCAGTGGCGAACTCCGGTCCTGAAGAGCCGCAGCCCTGCAGAGTACAGCTCCAACCCTAATTAAAACTAACCTGCCTGTAGCGTTCTTGTAACCCTTCAGCCCTTGATTAGCTTGTTCAGGTGTGTTTGATTAGGGTTGAAGCAAAACTCTGCAGGGCTGCGGCTCTCCAGGACCGACGTTCGCCACCCCTGATCTATAGTGTCGAATGCAGCACTAAGGTTAAGTAAAACTAGCAACGAGATGCAGCCTTGGTCTGATGCAAGAAGCAAGTCATTTGTAATTTTAACAAGTGCAATTTCTGTGCTATGATGGGGCCTGAAACCTGACTGAAATTCTTCATAGAGAATTTTTCAGTGTAAATATTGCGTCAATATCAATTAGATTTGAGCGCAATTTAAACCCTGATGATTGTAACCACTCTTAAGTTCGTCTGCCTTGAGAAAGCTAGCGTGTCTCTGACATAGTGATAACACTCGTTGCCTTCTCTAGTGCAGCTCAATAAGGTCTCGTCCCATTCGTCGGTATTTGTGATATCACAAATCCCGGAAAATATGCGTTCAAATGAGTCGTTTGTTGTAGTTTTTGAAAAGTGATTTCTGTTAAATAAAATATCTCCTTTTGAAGTGGACTTTGAACTTTGTAACTTTGCAGATCTTTTTGACTCTTTGTGACTTCTCGTTCTGTGTCAGCTGCATCAACGTATCCGTGTGGTGCGGCTGACACAGAACAACATACGCTGTTTGCATTCAGTGGATACTCTCCAAAATGGTGCTAGGGTGACACAGAGGAGACGAATTGTTGAATAAAGTCTTTTTTTTTTTTTTTTGGCAACAAAAGGATTTTTCGAAATATTACTGTTGAACCCCTGATGTCACATGGATTATTTTACCGATCTCCTTGCTACGTTGCTGGATGTTGATAGTGTAAGGACCCTTGCTGTCTATGGGAGGGTCAGAGAGCTATCAGAATGCATCAAAAATATCTTAATTTGTGTTCCGAAGATGAACGGAGGTCTTACGGGCTTGGAATGACATGAGAGTGAGTAATTGATGACAGAATTTTTAGGTGAACTAACCCTTTAACATATGGTTTTATCCTGATAAAAGCTTTAATACAATACGGCAACTGCACGCGCATCCATGTTTAATGCTTCTCATAGCTATGTAAAAATAAGTGTATAATTGGAACAGTTCATTGTTGGAGCTGAGCTGAATGAGAGAGAGAGATGCAGAGCAGGGGGACGTGAGGAACAGTATTAAGTAGTGATGGGACGATTGATACCGAGGCTCTGATGCAGTTTTCAAAGCACTATTGTATCACATACTGTGCCGATGCTTGTATCGAAATGACAATGCCACGTGATTGATGACGTTTGAAGCTTCGAACGTCATGCAGTATCGGAAGGTCGGGACAGCTGGTTTGAAAAAAATCGGCGCTTCGCATGATTCTTGTGTTTGACTTTACATTGACTTGGTTGTGTGTGTGTGTTATTTGTGATTCAGTAGGATAGTTTAGACCAGGGGTGTCAAACTCAATTCCTGGAGGGCCAGAGCCCTGCAGAGTTTTGTTCCAACCCTGCTCCAACACACATACCATGTAGTTGGTATGTGAGTTGACCCAGAGACCCCAAACAGCTCACCCAAAATATTTTTGCTATTACTCGCGTCAATTATCACACACTTGTATTATATTATTGATCAATATGTGAATCCATTGACCGGACTACGCATGTCACAGATTAAAAACTTTTTCAACCCATCCTCTGCTCCGCATGTTTCATTAAATAGGCTGGAGAAACCAAGTCTGACAACCAGATGTCGCTAATGCGCACGGTGTTAAAAATTTTCGAGTAATGAACCATTTTTCAGCACAATTTGATGAAAGCCTCTGTTTCCCATCACTAGTATTAAGAACCGCTGCTTTAGAACATTGATTTTGAAACTTGTGAATCCATTAGAATCATGATTCATATATATGAATAGATTTTTTTACATGCACCTCTAGTTTTCTCTTCCTCTTCTCTAAAGCAGCGCAGCATGGCCTCGCCCCCTTTGCTGCCTTTCACCGAGGGCAGGGTTTATCTTGGTTACATCATGAACCCAGGAAGTAACTTGTTGTAGTCCCTACCAGCCATTTTCATAGGCATTAACTGCCAGAATTTTAAAAGAGGTGTAGCGAATCAGCTCATGGGGAAATATGATACAAGGTTTGCATTGAACTTTCAGCTTCAGAACTTTGCAGATACTGTTTGTGGTCAAACAGCAACAATACATTACAGTTTAATAAATATTTAAAAAACACCCCTTTAACATTAGCCTACAATCAAATATTAAAAGCCCGGAGGTTCAAGATGGCGGCTTGAAGGGAGGCTGTGTAGTTAAGCGGTAGTGTCCCTTTGTTGAGTTTCCTACTACTACAAACCGCATATTATAATTTTAGCACGCTCATGTCTGGCGTTTTCCATTATGAGTATAAATGACTACTTTTTGAGGCAATCAGAAAGCATGCCACGCAAGAAAACGCCGATTGCCAACAGCTCCGATGAGGCCGATGAGCGAGCTGACGTTGCTAGCACTAACACGAGTTTGTCTGCATCTCCACTGTCTGACGCGGTTGCGGAGATTACATCCAATATCTCGAAGCTCATCAATGAAAAGATGGACCCGATATCGCAGTTGTTACAACTGCATCGTTCTGAGCTAGATGAGCATGATAAGCGGATCACTGAAGCGGAAGCCAGGATATCTGCTATGGAAGACGTGGTAACCCCGATCAAGGCTAAGCTACGATACCTTGAGAAAATCGTGCTTGATATGGGTGAACTCATTTCATTCTCAAATTGATTTAATGGAGTGGTGAGCCATAAATTATTTTTAGTTTTTTTTTCCTCTCTTGTTCGATTTTGTTATGTTTGTAATGTTTGAAAATTAATAAATATATTTTAAAAAAAAAAAAAAAAAAAAAAATTAAAAGCCCATAAAAACCCAACACAGACAGTAATTCATTTGAAAGGTTTATTTCACCAAAGAAGAGGGCAAATAAAACTCATTTTCTTCATGCCAATGGATTTAAGAAACGGAGTTAGACAGCCTCAGTGCAAAGCGGACTGCCTCTTCAGTGACACATGATCATACAACCAGTATTCATTATCATGAAGTCAGTCATCTTTCAGGATGGTTTGATACACAAGTTAAAACTATGAGGGCAAATATTCCACACCAGTTTAGGACTATAGTGACTGGTGGTTGGAAGAAGCCAGCCTCTGCTTCAAGGGACTTGCCATCTCACAGTTCTCCACATCTTGCCCTTGGTGAAGAGTTTATGCCTCACAGTGTTTCTCCTGTTCAATGGCTGGAAGAAAACGGAGCAAATTTAAAAAAAGGAAGCTACTCTACCAAAAAAAATTAATTAAATCTACAAAAGAACAAGCTTTACACTACTAATAAGAACAAAAACATCACTTAGGGTTCAGAAGGTAATGAGCACTCTGTAAAAGTCAAACTTACTCTCTTTAGTTGGAAGTGTGTTCTTCTCTTTTGTCTCGGTCTTCTTCAGCTTGGTCTTGTCAAACTGAGAGATCTCACTGATATCTGGTTTGTCAGCCATCGTTTTACTTCAGTTTCTCTTAGGGAAACTGAATGGGTTAAACAAAGAAATTACCTACAAATGTGAAAACATAAGTTACAACAAACCTCTTACTTTTCTGTTGAAGAGCAACACACAAGACGTAGGAGACAGAGTAGGAGTTCTGTTTGGACACATATATATTTAAACAACACAACCTGACTGCTAGCTAAGTGAGGAACAATTTAATTACTATTGCAGGTGCAAGCTGTTGATCATTTTGTTCCTTCATTTTCATTGGCTAATTGATCAAATGCTTGACCAGTTTTTTTTTCTCTATCATGTGGCCTAATGAGTTAATGTGTTTTCCCCCAAAACAGAGATCAGTGTCCTGAAAAACATGCAAATATCTTGAATGTTTTATATTACAGTCAGAGTATTTATTCATTATTAGACATAGAAAAAAAAAAATAACTATAAAAATGCTCAATTGTATTCATTAATCTACAATGCTTCCAAGTCCAGTATGTTGTCACTTTATCTACACCACGCACCGTAACATAATGTTCTGTTTGAAATAAAGTTCTTACAAAGAAAAGGCTACAGCACCAAACAAATCTCAGAAAGCCATCGATTTAAATTTAGACACAGCTCTCGGATCAGCACGTCGGAAGAGAGAGACAAGTAATGGGAGTGGAGGCCCTGTGTCGACTGTCGGACTTGTTTCGGAGTGACGTTGTGCGTAGCAGTTCTAGGCTAAAGAGTGTGTATTCTTGAGCTGACTGCGCTAGGATTATTATCTGGAGCTGGTGTGGAAAAGGAAGTTTCTACTGAGGTGGGCAGAGAAGATAAGCTAAATCGGATTGTTTGTCAACTCAGACGCCAGCCCATGTCAGGTGGGAGTGGGAGTGGGGGGAGTGGGAAGGACGAAGGTGAAAATTCTTCGTGCTGCAAGAAACCGCATGTTTTCTGATCTGTTGGAATCCGGTAGCAGTTCTAGGCTAGAGAGTGTGTATTCTTGAGCTGACTGCGCTAGGATTATTATCTGGAGCTGGTGTGGAAAAGGAAGTATCAGATTGTTTGTCAACTCAGACGCCAGCCCATGTCAGGTGGGAGTGGGAGTGGGGGGAGTGGGAAGGACGAAGGTGAAAATTCTTCGTGCTGCAAGAAACCGCATGTTTTCTGATCTGTTGGAATCCGGAGTCTCACCTTTATCTTTAAAATCAATTCTTGAAAATAAGGAATATGAAACAACAACGGTTGTTATAAGTTTTTTACTCTACACTGGTCTTTATTTGAGGATTTAATCTATGAGATGGAGTTCTTCAGATGAACTGGGGAGGGCAGCAATACGCCTTTGAAGCGTCTAAGCTGCCGCAAATCATACAAGAAGAAGAAGAAGGATCAGCACGTCAAGCGATGGCATCATCAAGCCAATCAGAGCGCGAGTCGCGCGCAAGCGTGTTGTGATGCATGTGATGCACGCGACGGAAGCGAGGTGAGCTTTCAATACTTATAATATGTACATCACTAAGTCATCAGATTGTGCTGGATATTTTATCATATGTTCATTCAGAGACATTTCATAGCGGGTAAACAATATGATCAAATTTGAACGAGATGTGGAGTTTTTGCATTATGTAGCTCGTTGTTGTCAGTGAAGATGAAGATGCTTCATCTTTGTAGTCTGAAATAATTCAGTGATTCCGTTCAAATGTTCGAATATCATGATTTTCTGAGGAACGGGCGCGGTTGATTTGATTTGTCTTTGTCATAAACATCACAGGTCACGCCTTTGCAAGAATTACTATGGTAACCATCGTATTTGCCAACACTGCTGGCTTAAAGAAAGATAATAAACCAAAAAAGTACAAAACATTATGAAAGCGATTCGAATGAAACCCCATATCTATTTATTATGATTTTATAGTAACAATAATAACTGTAGGCTACTAACTCTGATACTGTGGTGAAGGTCATATAGGCTAATTGTATCTTTTAGTCTGGACACCTATAGAAATGTTCCACACTCCTAGCAATGTGGAATTCATTGGTATTCTTCACCTTAAAATCAACTAGGGATACCTGATTTCTGTATTAATTCAACATACCAGTCTAGTGGTTGTCAAGCAGAGGGCTGGAGCCCACTAGGGGTCCTCAGCAAGCTTCCAAAATGGATGCAACATGATTAAAAATCTTTGAAGTGTGCATAAAGCTGCTCAAAGCCATTTTTTCTTTCATTCTAATATGCTGTTTCTATGGAAGCCCGTTTCCGCCACTGAATAAAAAAATATAATTCTGTAAGTCATAATAATGAGAAACCTTCTCAAAATTATGATTTAGTATCTCGTTATAATGACTTATTTTCTCATAATAATGACTTAGTATCTCGTAATAATGAGAAACTTTCTCGAAATAATGACTTAGTATCTCGTTATAATGAGAAACTTTCTCATAATAATGACTTAACCTAATCCCCCCCCAAAAAAACGACTTACTGGACGCTTGCGCAACGCAAGAGTGACAGCACGCTAGCGCCATCTGTTGGTCAAAGCCATGCAGGAACACCGCTAACATTGCATGTGATGCATGAAAGGGACAGCTAATAAAACTAATAAATCTTTAATATAGATCAGTGGTGGTGAACGGCAGTCCTGGAGAGCCGCAGCCCTGCAGAGTTTAGCTTCAACCCTAATCAAACACACCTGGACAAGCTAATCAAGGTCTGAAGGGTTACGAGAAAGCTACAGGCAGGTGAGTTTTAATTAGGGTTGGAGCTGAACTCTGCTGGGCTGTGGATCTCCAGGACCGGAGTTCGCCACCCCTGATATAGATAGATAGATAGATAGATAGATTGTTTCCAGGATTCCTTGATGAATAGAAAGCTCAAAAGAACAGTATTTATTTTAAGACACCGGACACCGGCCCTCCAGGACCGAGTTTGGGCACCCCTGCTTTAGTCAATAGGTTGTTTGAATGGGGTTTTGGTTAAATGCCTGAAAAAGGTCTGTGATTAACACAAGCACAATATATTTTCACATTTATTTAGGAACATAAAATGCATCAGTAATTAGGGTTGGGTGTCGTTTGAATTTAAATGTGGTTTAAAAAAAATGAAGTCAAACCTTTAGATGTCAAACATATTTATTCTGTGTCTCTTTTAGCAAAACATTTAATTGCTGCTGAATACCATGTACAAAAATCAGCCGGCTTCATAAAAGCTGGACTCGATTAAAGCAGCACTATGTAACTTTTGGCGCTCTAGTGGTTAATAAACAGAACTGCACACATCCCGCGGAAGAACATTCCAACCGGAGCTACTTCTCTAAATTTATGTCTATGGCGATTCACGCAGTTACTCCGTTATGGTGTTACTCCGCAGCGGCGACGACCCAACCAGGCTACAATAGTCCAAATATTATACAGTAAGTGTACCGTAGTGATTCGGAATAAGACAAAAACGCGGTTTGGAAGATTAATTCATGATGTACTCGCTCATTATATACATTTTGCAAATTTTGAACAGAAAAAGTTACATAGTGCTGCTTTAAGAGCTGTTTGTGTGTAAAATAGAGCTGCACGATTCTGGATAAATTGAGACTATAAAAACTATGTAAAACGGCTCGTTCTAACACGCCCCCACATATCTACCTCACTGTGGAAATATTAGCATATTGCCACCCAAATATTCACGCAAAGAAAGAAGGCGTGGTTTCAGTAACCGCCGTTAGTGTCGATGCAGCCATGTCAGGGAGACGCTGTGTGTTTCTAGTCTAAAGCAATAGCACTTTATTTGGCCTTCCGAAAGTAGATGCATTTAGGAATCTTTAAGATTACTTACAACTGAACAGCAATGCATTTTATGGATGGCCGTTTCGTGAACCTAGGAGAGGAGGTAATTCTGACTTTGCTATGACAATCTGGCGCTTCTGCATCAGCTACTGTTTTGTTATTGGTTTAAGTATTTGCTATTGACTGTTCAAATGCGGAGTTTTGCGCATCGTGTGTGTGTGTGTGTGTGCGCGTGTGTGTGAGAGAGAGAGAGACATCACAGTGGAGTCAGCTGTCTTAACCGTGGCTTGTGTACTTTCAACACATACCAGCTTCATCACTTTCTTTTTCTTCTTTCATCAGAAGCGCATTATATTTCATGCACCAGATGTTGTCATATCTGATCCTCATTTTCGACATTTGACTGGCTATCAACGAGGACCATGGCCTCCACCGACCAAGACCAAGAGTCACTGCAGAGTCAGAAACACTACTTGTGTGGTTCTGTCGCAGCGTTCGCCAACATTGTCATCACATTTCCCATACACAAGGCACTGTTCCGCCAGCAGTTGTTCGGCGTGCAGACGAGGGAAGCTGTGCGCCAGCTCCAGAGGGACGGTGTGCGCACACTGTACCGCGGCATCCTGCCACCCTTACTGCAGAAAAGCAGCACTATAGCAGTTATGTTTGGCCTCTATGAGGACTTCTCCAGGTTGTTGCGGCTAACCGCTCCTCAAGCCCCCGTCCTGTTAACGGACAGCATCGCAGCAGTTTTAGCGGGAACAGCTGAAGCAGTCTTAACGCCCTTCGAGAGGGTCCAAACTCTACTGCAGGACCCACGTCATCATGGAAACTTTCAGAACACTGCGCATATTTTCCGTCTTTTGCTTCAACAACACGGCATCCGAGAGCTTTACCGTGGCCTTGTTCCAATCCTACTCAGAAATGGCCCTAGCAATGTTTTTTTCTTTGGCTTGCGTGGACCGATCAAGGAACTGCTCCCCAAAGCCGAGACAAAGGCAGGGCACTTGGTTAATGACTTTGTATGTGGAGGGATTCTGGGAGCGGGTCTCGGGGTGGTGTTTTACCCTCTGAATGTAGTTAAGTCTCACGCACAAGTGCAGATTGGAGGGGAGTTTCAGTCCTGCAGGGTGATACTGGCAAACGTTTTGAGAGAGAGGGACGGGAAGGTGAGCCGTCTGTTTCGTGGTGTGCATTTGAACTTCCAGAGATCTGTTTTCTCATGGGGAATCATAAATGCTACATATGAACTTTTACTGAAAATGCTCTGATTGAGATGAGACGGACAAAAGGGGGAATTAAAGTGAAAAGCATCAACGACTCGGAGAAAAGAGTGGAGAATAAGTCTATTTCTGCTGCTAAAACCACAGAATTAAAACAGCATGTTTACTTCGTGTTATGTTAAAGTTAGTTAACTCAAAAGATTTCTTCATGGTCAAGCCTAACTGAAAGCACAAAGAAAGGGAAATGTTTGATTTGATCATTTTAGCAATATATTATTTTCTATTTTAAAAAGTATTTAAACAATTAATATGGGATGCATAACCTTTCAAAAGGTTGAAGTTGGCAAGGTTTTTTAATGCAATAATGACATGCAGTAAAAACGGTAATAGTCAAATATTATTACAATTTACAAGAATCTATTTTAAAATGTAATTCATTCCTGTGATATCAAAGCTGAATTTTCAGCATCATTACTCCTGTCTTTAGTGTCACATGATCCTTCAGAAATCATTCTAATATGCTGATTTGCAGCTCAAGAAACATTTCTGATTATCAATGTTGAAAACAGTTGTGTTGCTTAATATTTATGTGGAAACTGTGATAGAGGATTCTTTGATGAATTTAAAGTTAAAAAGAATAGCATTTATTTGAAATAGAAAAATGTTATACAAGTCTTTATTGTCATGTCTGATCAATTTAAATGGATCCTTGCTGAATAAAACTATTAATTTCTTTAAAAATCTGACTATCCCCAAACTTTCGAATGGTATTATATGTCATTTAAAAGAAATGAACATATTTTCATGATTAAATACAGTGTAAAGTAGGGCTGCACAATTAATCAAATTTCTAATCGCAATTACAATTATGGATGCCACAATTACGTAATCGTTCAAAGCGGCAATTAATCATTCAATGTCCACTTATGTTATTATGCGTGCTTAAGATGCGTTCTTTTCTTTCTACATGCTATCTTAAGGGTTTTTCCCATTATTTTAATTTTAGTTTTAGTATAACATTATAATACCATTCATATTTTTACTTTTTTATAATTTAAAGAAGAAACCAATCCGATGTATAGTTGACATTTGAGGCTTAATACTATAGAAAAGCACAAAGTTTTTCAGTTAGAGTGTTTTCAGCTTGTTTATTTTCATATAAAAATACGGTGCAGTTGCATAAAACAATGGTATAAACATTCAATGTAAATTGTGATAATCGTAATTAATAATCGCAATTACAATTTCAAGGGAATAATCGACAATTATGATTTTTGTCATAATCGTGCAGCCCTAGTGTAAAGTGTTTTTCATTTTTCTAATCAGGCACCTAACAGAGGACCCATGAAAAAGTTGTCTTAGCCAATGGAATGGTTCTGTTGAGGAAAGGAGAAAAATACAGATTTGGGGGGAATAGGATCGTGCATGACACCAAATCTGCTTCATAAACAAATCATTCAGGTTTTTGTCAACTGGATCAACTGATTCATTTTGGATCACACTTAAAATAACTAAAAGAAGTGTGTCATGAGTGCTCATAAAAGGGTGGCTATTTAGTGAATAATTTCTTATAGCCTCAGAAGACTTGGGGCACTTTTATGATACTTTTATATTTAATATTTTCATTTTGGAGCTTTACAGCCCCAGTCTAAATTCACTTTAATTATATTGAAAATTCACCTTTTGTGTCCCATAGAAGAAAGTACGTCAAACAGGTTTGGAAGGAATTTTCTTTTTTTAGCTGAACTATCCCTTTAATTCATCATCTGACTAAATGAAACACATGTCAACCGTTTTATGATTTTGATTAAAGATTGAATTGGCTCACACATGAGAAGAAGCGAGTGTTGAGAGACATCTTTGACCTCGATACGTTCCCAGTATTCTCTTTTCTGTACTGATTTCTGTGGTCCCTTAACCACAGAGTATTCAAATCACTAAGTATGTCATTACAAGGGTGGGAATGGTCAGGAGCACAGTTTACACTGCCGCTGGTTTTTGCCTCCAACTTTATATAGATTTGCTGAGTTAGCTTTGGCGTCGCCAAAAGCTGTAGACTCTAGAACCATATGACGACTTGGGTTCCAGTCCAAGCATTGATTAGTCATCTGGATACCAATAAACACGAGAGTGAGTTTGGTGTTTGTGGTCTCTCTAGCCTTCATGTGGTAACAGAATCATCCAATCTGAGCCAGAATTCTTCATGCTTTTAGCGCCCACTGCAGCTAACAGATTATTTCAATGACATAAGCAATGATTTGGTCATGTTTGGTTCGTGTTTCTCTCATGCACTAAAAGCTTCTTTGAATCACTCCCAAATATATTGGGATTTTAAGAAGGTGAGACCACAGACCTCAGTTGACAATGGCAATGTGCCAAGGTGCACTTTGGATGATATTGGTTGTCTCTGTAAATGTAATTTGTAATCTATTTACTTCCATTTACACTACCATTCTGGAGTCTGAAAGATTTTTTTAAAATGCAAGACTGAATTTATTTGGTCAAAAATACAGTAAAAACCATCATTTAAAATAACTGCTTTCTATCTTAATATTTTCAAATTTAGTTTATTCCTGTGATGCAATGCTGAGTTTTCAGCAGGCATTAATCCAGTCTTCAGTGTCAGCTTTCTAGAATACTGATTTGCTACTCAAATAACATAAATGTTGAAAACAGTTGTGCTACATAATAGTACATATTTAGTGAAACCCCTAATAAATAGAACGTTTAAAAGAACAGCACTTGCTTGCTATAAAAATCTTTGTAATGTTATAAAGGCCTTTACGGTCACTTTTGAGCAAATGAATGCAGTTGCAAAATAAAAATATTAATTTCTTTCAAAACTGACCCCAAACTTTTGAATGATAGTGTCTATGCATTTGAAAGAAAATAAAATGCTCAAGTTTTACTGCATACTAATCATGAAGTTGAAGTTGAACTTAAAAATTGTGAAAAGTCATTTGACCAACAGAGGATCTAAATATCACAGTTGACCTCACAAACTAAACATCAACATGAATATTTCACATCATCTTGTTCTATGTCTTTCGAGTGTAAAATTGAATAAACACTACTTGAGCACATGCAAACTTAGACTATTAAACTTAAGTTAATAACTAATATATATAAAAAAAATAATAATTAACTTTTTAAGATCTGTTTAAAACAGCTGCATGTGCACCAAAAACATTTTTTTATATATAAAAATGATTATTTACCTCTTTTATATCACTTATGTAGAAAATGAAATACAGCAAACATTATTTCAACTATTCCTAAGTCAAGTTAATATTTAGATATTCATGTTATAACTGGTTTAAATGTTGTTCGTGTGTCAGACTCTTTACAAGATACCATTATTTTACTTGCTTACGATGTTTACAGTTGCACCTTTTTGTTGCATTTTACAGTTTTTTTCCCATGTATCTCCTGACCTCAGTTTGTTTTGCCTTATGCCTTTTGTCATCTTAAGCCTTTCTAAATGTACCTGTTTTATACCTGTATGTTGTTTAAATGTGCCATTTTACTGTGTTCTGTATTTGAATATGTCTGTTGTAAGTATGGACTTTTTTTAAATTAAGAAAAAAACGTTGTGACTATGTAAAAATATCATAAAATATAATTAAAACTCACTAAAGGAAATGTGAAGGCTTGCTTATTCTGATCATCACAATTCATCACACACAATTCAGCATTTCGTTTTACATCTGTCCGTTATATAGTGACTCCTGACTGGTTTTCTCTGGCTATGTTTTGTCTATCTATGCAGTATGCTTATCATAGCCCTTGTTTTGATGGAGACTGTACTAAACACCATTTTTCAACAGAGGGCGACGATAGCATGTCTGAAACAGCTCCTACACACAACAAGCCGGATACGTTGTTTCTCAAAGCTGGAAGTAGGCCCTATGTTATTTTTTCAGTCACATAATATGCATCAACAATTATAAATAGTTCATTTATACGTTGAATTATCTTAAAAGTGTAAACACTGTGTGTTCTCTATGTGGCATTATTAAAACCAGCCTTCACTGACTCAATCAATAGCGTGAGTTTGGGGGCGGGACTATCAGAATAACCGACCTATGGTTTGAAGACAGTCTATTTTTTATTTTTTTGCAGAAAATGCTCACTTCATCTGATCATATGTATATCCCAAATCTTCTGTAATTGATAACTTCACTTCTTATTTATAACTTCTGATCTTCATATTTTCATATGAGGCCTTGTTCAGACTACTGCAATGACAAAATTTGATAAAAAATATTTGTTTTCTTACTTTGTCATCAGAATCTAAAAGTTCTCTGATATTCCCTGCAATGTAAAAATGTCACAGACTTCCTTTAATATCACATTGCCTATTGTTATGTTACCTTCCACACACATAGACCTTCACTCCCCTTTCTCACAGTATCTCATACATATCAATGAGATTATCATATCAAACAAAAACATCCACATGCTCACATTGCAGGGTTGAAAATACCCACACGCCTTTGTGTTTGATGATCTCACAATACATTGTTTGAAGTGCACAGTTCTCTCACCAGAGCTTCTGTCTCTGTAAAGATGAATGGACTGCTTCATCACTGTTTGATAGCATTAGCTATTAGCCCAGGCTTTGATTGGTACAATGACATTAGCCTCCTACATCCGCATTGTCACTGATATGAGTGGGTGACTGTGAAACCTCCACCACAGAAGCACAAATCGAGTCTTATGAAGTGCTTGAGGGTGCTTATTAACACATTTTTGAATTCAAGACAGTAAAAGTCAGTTAAGACAATAATTAAGCACAGTGCTATTGCTATTAATAGCTAACAAGAACAATGAGGCAAAGTGTGTTCAGTTCACAATGAAGAATAAAATGAATTTAAAATAATATTTATGCATATTATGAATGCATATGCATTACTCTGCCCCCACTCCCACAATGCAATTGGCATATAAATGAGTCATTCTATAATTTAGGGCGCATTTCATATCACTGAGGAGATGTAGTATGTGTACATATTTATATTAACTACTTTCTTCAGAAAATAGAACGTTTTGAACACATTATTATAAGTTTCCTCTTGTTTATTTCAATATTTTTATCTAAAACAACCTTGCCATGGATATTAAAGCTGCAGTCTGTAAGTTGTGCCTCTTTGTCACCATCTCTGTTTGAAAACCTGCAATTGCAGTTGTGTGCAGAATTATCTTCCTTGCGTGGGTTGTGCGGCGGCACGGCTCCAGCACGGATGAACCTAAAGTTTTGAGGAGTATGTGTGGCAGTCAGTCACCGCACCGGTGTGGATATTGTACTTTGCACTCACAGATTCTAGCCTACGTCTTGG